ATGGGCTATGATTAGCTCCATTGGTATTGGCTTGTGCTGGCTTCAAGGGGGTAGCAGTACTGACCTTGCCCCCCACCAAATCATGGCATTCTGTCATATTGTAAGCACACAAACAGATACTAAGAGCTTGAGACAAAACCCGTCAAAAACAATGGAGACATTTCTACTAAACTTTGAATGTGATCATAAATTAACAACAAAGATCCAATTGCATTTTTTCATCTGCATTTAACTTCAAAGTTTATAGAATTCTAAATATTAAGAAGTATGCAACTCAGTACACTGAGGTACCGTAAAAAATTCTGGCCAGGGAACCAAGTGCACAAGAAACATTAATAATAAGAAATAAGCGAGATGTTTGTATACAAATGGTGGGAACATGGGTAGGAAAATGGAGGAACTTTGCATACTAGTGCAAGATGCGTATACAGATATTCTAGGGGTAAAAAAACATAGCAGAAACGATACCTGTAGTCACTGAATAATATAGGTTCTTCAAAAAGGAGGGAAATAGACTTGGTTGCATTACGTGAAACACTAGGATAATTTGTGATGTAATAAGTTATGTCAATAAAACAGATTCTGTTTGGATGCAGCACTTCAAGCACGAAAAAAGGTTTTTTGCAGAATTAATGCTTGTGGAAAATCCCCAGGATGTCAGATTTAACTCTGCAACATTATTGTAGAAAGGAATGTAAGTGAGAATGTATCATTAGAGGATGTTGAAGCTTACGAATTTCTTCACGAGTCACTAAACCAACAAAAAATAATGATACTTTAGATCTGGTTTTTGCTTTGAAATATGTAGATAATGAAACGTAACCTTTAACCAAGCATTCAGGCATTGAGTCCACTAACGTTACATGACAAAGTAAGTAATGGTCAGCAAACTTCAATAAGCAATACAAGCTAGTTAAAGAAATGGGGCTTCGTGGATATTTCTGTGAAGAAGACGTCAAATTTCATCAAGTATAACATATCATGTTGTATCTGATTACAGGGGACTAGGTTCAGCCATACAGGAAGTCCCCTCCAGACCTATGTTCCTAAATTTCTCAGTTAAACGCAAAGGCCTTAAGTAAAACAGAAGTAATTTTAAGACAGTTTCACAAGTTTGGTCGCTGTCAGTATTCTCTAACATTCTTTGACTCAGTGCTGAATTTGGACATTGGCTGCCAGAGAGCAGAACCTGTTCTTGTGACGATGTAGATGTTTGAGATGTAGGACAGGATATTTATTGTATGCTCTACTGGGTATCTATCTAACCTGATACTTCATCTAGAAAGTCTCATTAAGATATCTGCTTCATAGACCAGCCCTCCTGATCTCCCTCGTCGCTGAACAGTCTCAAGTAAGACAGGGTTGGTAGGGTGTATGTAGAGTTTGTACAAACTAGTGAGGATGATGAAACTGGGAAGAGCACTCAATAGTGAGGATGTTGAAGTACAGAGATGTTCAGCCTGGAGAAGAGAAGACTCAGGGGGGATCTTACTAATGTATGTAAATACCTCAAGGGAAGATGCAAAGAAGAGAGAGCCAGACTGTTTCGGGTGGTGCCCAGTGATAGCACCAGAGTCAATGGGCACAAACTGAAACACAGGAGGTGCCATCTGAACATCAGGAAACACTTTCTTACTGTCATGGTGACCAAGCACTGGAATAGGTTTGCCGGAGAGATTGTGGAGTCTCCTTCCTTGGAGACATTCCAAAGCCACCTGGACATGATCCTGAGCAACTGATTCTAGGTGGCTCTGCTTGAGTAGGAGGGTTGGACAAGATGACCTCCAGAAGTCCCTTCCAATCTCAATCATTCTGTGATTCTGTAAGCAAGCTCCAGTCATTTTAGTAGGTTTAATTCTGAAAGCCAAGCAAAGTTTGATGCTTAATATAAATGTTCTGCATAACTTCAGAGATACCCACTCACTGTGAAACTGTGATTTCTGGAGGCAGACTACGGCTTGCTCAGAAAATCAGGCAGGAATTATAAAGGGGATCACTATTGTGCTTGTCCATATGCACCCATTATTATTAGAAGCATCAGGAGAGAACAAGCAGAAAAGATGCCACAGGAACCTTTCAGGGAGTTTTCCTAAAGTAGAGAGGTTTTGAACTTTGCATTAATGTGGCACTGGCTCTGTAATGCTCTTAACTTATCTCTCTCTTCCTACCAAATGCTGCATACTTCTCTCTGTGTCAGCAATGAGGAACTCTCAGCCTGGAAAATGAGTTAGATTTGGAGAAACTTCTACAGTGCAGAGATTTATTTGAAGGATTTCTGAAATTAACCCGTTTTATTCCTCCTTCATGTTTCATGATCTGAAACTCTATTTCTTCCCAGTTTAAGACCACTGTAGCTATTTCTTTGAGTTGAACTGGATGACTCATGCTTTTTTCCCCATCCCTCTTAACCTTCAGCTGTATGTTCTCCATATGACAGCACAGCATCATGGGTCCCAAATGGTTCAACTGTGAGTGAGTTACAACTTCAGTGCCTAGACATGTGATTCATGTTATACCTTGGAAACCACGAAGATCTTTAAAAATGTTGACTCAGGAAATTATGAAGAATTTTCTGCTGTCCTGTGAGGGATCATTATTTGAAGAAGGAGTTCTTACCCAAGACCTTCTAATGCTCTTTTGCCTGTTTGGTGACTGGGGAAGGGGTCTACTTGGCCTATATATTTCCTGACCACATTCCCTGTGCGCAAGCTAATTTTTTTCATTGGAGACTTATGTAATGTCAACTAGTTTATCTGATTTTCTGATTTAAGAAAAACATATTGTTTTATGTTTTATATCATAGCTAATCCTGTACAAATGCATAAAGTGAAGGAGTGAAAACAGACAATGATTTACTTGCCCAACACAATAAATGCATTATGACTTTTGCACCCTGCTTAAATAATGCAAGAGAGGATGAACAGATTGGTCTCCTCCCACGACATATCTGCATTGTTAGCATTCAGGGAAAGAAAGACCGCATGTATTAAAAAGTTGCAAGGGTACTATTAAGGCATAAGCTACTGAAACAGGAGTAAATGCGTTGAAGAAGTCTCAGTTCAACATTATCAGTCCTATTATGAGCAATGTCAGCCTTACTGCCAATGTGGAAGCCAGGGATGAGAGTGCAGGTAAGATCTTTCTATACCAGGGAAGGACCAAATCACAATGCAGACATTGCCATGCTAATTTAGTACAGTACGTTCTTTCTGTCTTTTAAATATCAATTTTCGCAAACTGTTCTACTCTCAGCTCCTTGAGGCAGAAGCATTGGAGTTCTTTCAGCACTGCCTATGAAGTGACCTTACTGCTTTTGCTTAGAGTTAGAAATCTATTTATGATGCACATTTAAGACAGCATTTGCAACTAATGTTTCTGTAAGTAATATTGACAAACATTTAAACAAACTCTCTTAGCATTTTTTCCCTAGATGCTGGCTGAAGAAATCTTTGTCTGAATCACAGTTTGTGCATGTGCAATTAATTACTGTCAGGCTGTTAGGCAGGCTGATCCCACGGGAATTGTCCATTTCATTTTCACATAGAAACAGCCTTTGCCTTTTGTTGTCACATAGAAGCAGCTCTTGAACTGGCATCTCGATGATGCTCTTTTTCCTCAGTTTGCTTGGTTAGATCTTCTGGTTGAAGTACTTGAAGGATATAATTTCATAAATACTCTTGAAGCAATTCCACACAAACCACCTCATCCTCCTTAAATCACTGTTATTTTATTGCTGAATTTTGAAATACCATTAAAAAATATTAGGATAGGTCAGTTATTGAACTGTGTACCATGTAGACACCTCACAGTGTTGTCTGTGTAATTGATTATTTGTTCCTAATTAATGGTGGGATAATAAGACGACCTTCACTTAGAAAAATACTTTAACTTGTGAAGTTCTCGAACCAAGCATTCCTCTCCTTTGTTATAAAGATGCAAACTCTTTTATTAGAGTGGAAACTGACTGTGGATCACCAAACTATTCTGAATATCATTTGCACTAGTTACTCATTTTTATTTTAATATTAACCTTAACAGTACCGTAAAATAAATATATAGATCCATTCTAACAACAAGAAGGAACTTGAGCTTATTTCTGAAATTTTCAGTAACAGAAGCTGGTTGGTGCATGAGCAATACAGAGATCTATAAATAGCCTGTTGACTTAAAGTATTCTACTTTCATATATGCTCTGACTGGTAGCTCTGTACTATACATGAGGAAAGATTTAGAGGTAAAAGCAGTATTTTTATTTTTATTTGACCAGCTGTTCTAACCAAAAAAATTAAACTGATTTTCAGACATTTGCCTGGATTTTTCTAATAAAAAGCTATTATACCTACCTACAAAATTTGTCCTATCGTTGTCCTTGAACCATCATAGCTACAACAAAATACCACTAAGCATCTCTACGATATGCAAAATACAGTTTAGTTCATGCTTAGAATGGGAAATGACTGTAGCAGTCCTGGATACCTGATGGCAAGTAATGACATTTAATAGGAAACTGTCAATATCATAATCAATGCAAAAAGTATTTCCTTGTGCACATACATGCACAGTCTTGCATCCCTATTCATTGGTTCTTAAATCCATGATTGTTTACAATTTCCTTTTTTCTTCCTTTTACGCCTCACCAAACTGTATTTCTTGATAATCAACCCTCAAAGTAAACTTCCATTGTATCTTATAAAAAAGTAATCTGTGGACTACACTGAAAGGCATCAAAAAACAGGGAAGAAATGTTAAGAACAGGTGTATGTCTGAATCCAGCTTAATTCTCCGGCTGTGACCTTCCACAGAAAAGACATATCACTGTCATTTTCAATTTATATTACATTTGCTGGCAGACAAATTTTACTTTTTTTCTCCACTAATGAAGCCAGTATGGTGATCTAATTTATTTTATTCTTTAACAGAGTTCTAGCTTATAAATAGAAATTTGCACTGTTGCAACTGAAGTTGTCTCATGTTGTCACTATTTTTTCTTCTCTTTCTAGGTGATGTCATTGTCTATATTAATGAAGTTTGTGTCCTTGGACATACTCACGCAGATGTAGTCAAACTCTTCCAGTCTGTTCCTATTGGTCAGAGTGTCAACTTGGTGCTATGTCGTGGATACCCTTTGCCCTTTGATCCTGAAGATCCTGCCAACAGCATGGTGCCACCCCTTGCAGTAATGGAGAGGCCTCCGGTAGTGGTAAATGGAAGACATAACTATGAAACTTATTTGGAATACATTTCTAGGACTTCTCAGTCTGTTCCAGACGTAACAGATCGACCACCACACTCCTTGCACTCCATTCCAGCAGATAGTCAGCTTGATAGCACATTCCCACCACCTGCCCATGATGATAATGTATCAATGGCTTCTTCTGGGGCCACTCAAGCTGAACTCATGACCTTAACCATTGTGAAAGGGGCCCAGGGCTTTGGCTTCACTATAGCAGACAGTCCTACAGGACAGAGGGTGAAGCAAATTCTAGACATTCAGGGATGTCCTGGTTTGTGTGAAGGTGACCTCATTGTTGAGATCAACCAGCAGAATGTACAGAACCTGAGCCATGCAGAAGTAGTGGATATACTTAAAGAATGTCCTGTTGGAAGTGAAACTTCTTTGATTATCCATAGAGGAGGTAAGTTTGGAAAGTCTGTACAATTACAAAAATGTGTGTAAAAGGTTCTAAACCATAAGACATACATATACTCACTACATCCTTGTGTGCTAGAATGGAAATTAATTTCCATGTTGTGGGAGGTAACACCATTGGTTCTGGAAAAGTGTGTCTGCAATTAAGCATCCTAGGCAAAATCTAAGTTTGTTGTACATATCTTTTTGCATTTTGAGTGTCAATGGTCCCACCTCTGTTTAAGGGCAACACTAGAGCAGTTCCAGACCTTCCACCCCATAATAGTTTGAATGGTGTCTGCAGCAAACTCTTACAGTCCCAAAGCAGAGCTGCAAGCTTTATATTTAATTGCATATGTTGACTCATTACAGTAAATCAAAATCAGAGAAATCTATTAGCTCGTTACAAGGTTACTGGTTTTGATGAGTCATTTTGCCTCCTTTTCCTTCATTGTAAAAGTATTGTGCAATGATTGTTTTGTTTCTTTCTTGACAAGATCAATAGTATGTTTTTCTCTGGTAAAAAAAAATAGCTTCTAGCAACTTAGTTTTTCTGACCAGCCTAACACAGTAAGCTTGAATATACACCACTGGAAAGCAATAGTCAAGACTTATCTGTAAGGAGGCAATAATAACAGAGGAAGCCTTAATACTCTGACAGCGATAACTAATTTCATAGCTTTTACTATTTTAGCCAAACAAATTTTCTTCAATTGTTTGAGATGAGCAACCATCAAAATTTATTATTACCTGAACAGAATAATGATGGAATTTTTTTAATTAAATATCTTTGTTCCTCTAAAGGCATTTGTATGTCACTGAATGTATGTCACTCTGTGCTTCAAAAGGAAAAAAAAAAGATTCTGTACAAAAATACAAATTACTTTCCTTCTGAAGATTAGAGGCTGGGAAGTGAAGCTTTAGTGTTTGCGTATGCCAAATGTTTGTCATTAGAAAACCTACAAATCCTTAGAATAAGGAATATAGTAACATTTTATCAAACTGCAGAAATAACAAACATAAGGTGATTTAAATATCTGTAGATTCATGTAGTCAATAAAGTATTTTTCATATCTATATTTTTAAAAGTTATTTATAAGAGGCAGAATCTGACATTTCTTTTGAATGACATCAAATTAAGAGTGATAAGTAAAGGCCAATTTGTGTCACAATAGTATATGATTATATGGTACAGTGTATAGTATATATTATATTGCAGAGGTGCTATATTAGATGGTATTAAATGTAATTTTATTTAACATCTATTAAGAAACTAACAGTGGAGTAAGCAACATTTTTTTCTGAAGAAGCTGACAAATTAGGGAGAATTGCATAGCAAAAAAAGAGTATAAAGGGGATTAGAAGGGTTAATGTAACCCCAAAAGATGGAATTTTATTTTGAAAAATGCAAGCTGATCTCCCTCTAGAGGAAAACAATTCAGAACACCAGTCTTCAGAGAGAAGTGCAATGTGACATCCAGTGTGCTGAACAAGTCTGAGTAATAATAGACAGGAAAATAGGTATTTCAGCAATTGGTGCGGGACAGTAGAAAAAAAACCCTGAAGCAGCAACATACACAGGCCTATGAGGATAATTCCTCTCTCTCAAGAGAATTTCTTCTTTAAGCATCAACTCATGATCAAAACAAGGTGATCAACATGATAGTTTTACAAGTTCTGCTACCTTAACTGAGCTGTGGTTATTTTCTACATATCACTGTGGCAGTGGCAGACAAGAGATACTGCACTGAGCTCAAGTCTCAATAAAAGCAGTGTAAGTTATGTACACCATCTTGTCTTTTTTCAGGCCAGACACTGAGGTACAGATAGTTTGTGTCAGCTGACACAAAATACTAGGTCCCAATGCAGTAACATGTTCCTGAGTCTTAACCCTCTGTTGCTGAGGCAGGGGGTCGTTTGTTACTTTAAACAATGCTAAAACAGTGGCTGAGACTAAAGCAACTGCTTGTGATTAAACTTAATGGGATGATACAGAACAAATTAAAGTTTACTATCAGAAATTTCTGTACCTCACAAATGAGGAATATACCTTAATGCAAAGTTGTTAAACTAGTTTGAGTGATTCAAAAGAAGTTAAAAAACACAGTGGATGAGACAAATCTACTCTACCTGAGAGATGGCTAAAACATAGCTTAACAGAAATACAAGAACTGTTTTAAGGTGCCAGACTGGGATTTCTTCCATAAATTCATAGGAAACTGGAATCCATGTGATCAAATATACATCTATAATGCGGGTAATTATATGTATGCTAGTCATCATATCTTCTTTTATAGTCCCTGGGCAGAAATAGGCCTTTCTAGGGTGCAATTTGTAACATTGCAAAGTAGATGTTTCAAATAAGTCAGGTATACCCTAAAAGTATATATTCTGCTTGACTGACTATATAAAGGGAATCGAGGATGACTGGTTCGGATGTATGTGTCTATCTATCCCACATGTTATGAATAAGAAACAGATAAGATTTGGTCATGTGAGATAATCTGAACACAAAACAAAATTCTAGTACTAAGAGAAACCTGCTATGATTCTAAAATATTTAATCTGTGTCATCATTGAAGCAAGGCATACTTTCTCATTACTCATGGATCCAATTTTTATTTTATTATCTCTAATGTGTAATGATACTTGAACAGCACCATGCTTTTCCATCATTACCCTATGCATCCTGTCTTTAGCATCTCATTTTTAAGATTAAGAACAGAGTACTATTCCTGCCTATGGAAGAGGAAGGGTATGTTTTACATAAGGTTGTGTGTTGCCTTGTATAATGTATTCTCTCTGATATGAATATGGCCTGACTGCATAGTTCACTGTGGCAAATCCGTTTTTGTAAGTGATTTAATTTCTCTTTCTCATCCAGCAATTTTAGCTACATTGCAGACAAGAAACAGATTGACATTGGCTGAGGTATGTTCTCACTGTAGGAAAAAAGCATCTTGTACAGGAAAATATGCTTTCTCATATGCATATACTATGCATTCTACAGCATTTAAAAAGCCATTGTCCCTCAAGCCTAGGAGGTCAAGAGCCAGAGTATGCAGGGGAAGGAAAGACGCATGTTTCAAAAAGATGGAGGGAATAGCAGTACTCAAGTTTAAAGAGGCCACTAAAAAAAACTGCCTAAACCAACACCAAACAGACTTGTCACGAGATACAATCCAGCTGGAGGAAGTCTCGCTGAATTTGTAGTGAATTCATCTTAAAATTTGTAAAGCAGAAGTAGTAATTTACCTGCTTGTTAAAAAAAAAAAAAAAAAAATCATGGAAATAACATCATAGTATATCAAAGAAAATACAAAGCAGCACTTGTTCAGATGACAACCTTCTTTCTGTTTATTAGTCAGGTTCTTTGCTGAACACACATGCATTGCTTAGTTTGGTTTCTTTGCATTTGTTTTTGCTGACCAGCCATATAGTTTCCACTGATTACTATAAGCTGACAGAAGTGTTCATGCCGAAAAAAAAATAAAATGAAAGGAAAAGATGGTGGAAAATTGTTGCCTGAAAAAAAAGGGAAGAAAAAGGTATGAAAGTGTTTGTTACCCAAACAGATTTACTCCTTTCCAGCTTTACTTAACCTTCACGCTTCATCCTCAGCTTCTTCAGCAGTCTGCATTGTGTATAGGCTGCTGAAATAGTGTGGAAAATCTCTCAAAAGTCAGTCTTTCTGAATGCAGGCAGAGCAGAAATTCTGCATTAGTCCAGAACTAAATGGCTGAAGCAGTATGTACCAAATTTATGTAGAGCAAAATATTCACTAATTAGGACATCAAAAATTGGTTTTGGTGTGTTCTACTAAACGAGCATTCCAACTACTTGACATATGCCATCTCTTTTGGAAAGTACGTTTGAAATTTATGAACCTATATACAGCAGCCCAGCCCCAGAAGTGTTCCTGTCTAAAAGAGAACAGACACATTCAAATGCAGATTCAACAGAACTATGTCCGAAACACTGTTGTTAAGGAAATCTGAAGACAACCCAGGACTGATTCATGAAGCTATGGCAACTCCTAAACAATGCTGTGAGTGGAACATTAAAACTAAATGCAAAAAGTGGAAGCCTGACAGTATTCCTACCTCAGATGGCTATTGTATAATGGTGGAATCCAAACAGGCTCTGAGAAACTGAGACTGTTATTACAAAACAGAGCCAGAGAACCGCTGCACTGTCTACACTGGTTAATTCTTGGCCCAATTCTGGCATGGGACTGGAATAAGCAGCCAGTTTCACCCTGACACGGTATAGGACGTAGCATGGGCCACACACAATGCACAAACAGTCAAGATGAGGAGGGAGAATTTAACTATGTAAATGTAAACTGTGGGAATAAAAGGATGGCCAAGTATCTTTCTCAGATTTTGTATAAACTCCAGTAGAAGTTTATAACTCCTTAAGAATGCTAACAGATACCAGTACATCACATGAAGCATCAGCAATTTCCAAAACAGACAGAAATTTCACCAAAAAAAATATTTCTGCCAATTCTAGTGAATAAGCCTAGCTCCTCAAAATGAGCAGACTTCAATGGAAGGAATACTGCATCATCAGTGCCCTTTCCATGGACTGAGCTCAGATTTACCTCTCTACCACAGAGATGACAAATTTTTTTTGTCCAGGCTTGCTATACGATGTCTTTCAATTCCTCTGGCCAGGAAAACTCATACTTCTTTTTCTCCAAGTTACCCTCTCTCTTGGGTAAGCTGCACAAGGTAAAGCTGCAGGCAGCACCATCATCCTGCTAACACTAGTCTGGCCCAGGCAGTTCTGATCTCCTAGTTCCATGATCTCAGCCCACCACTGAGATCTCTAGAGCTTTGATTCTGCTTCTGCAGTTCTTCGTTCCAAATATTAAGAGAGTATCTGGTGCAAACTGGGGAACCTGTACCTCATGGCTTGATCATCCCCGATTCAGGACTTTCTAGTCAAGAGTACTGAGGGTTTGAAGAAATTAAATTGTTAGGAGGATGGTGTAGGTTTTTG